AAGTTACCACGAGTGAGGAACCTTTTAGTGACCAGGGGGGAAGTTACCACTGAACGGAAACCTTGTAGTGACCAGGGTAAGTTTCCACTAAGCGAGGAACCTGTAGTGACCACGGGTAAGTACCAAGAGCAAGGGACCTGTAGTGACCAGGGTTTAAATTACCACAGAGCGAGGGGCCTTGTAGTGCCGGGGGAATTACCACTAAGGAGGGAAACCGTAGTGACCAGGGTAATTACCACTAATGAGGAAACCTTGTATGACCAGGGGAAGTTACCACTAGAGTGAGGAAACCCTTTTTACGAGGGTAAGTTTCCACTAATAGGAACCCTTTTAGTGACCAGGGTAAGTCCACAAGTAGGAACCTTGTAGTGACCAGGGTAAGTTACCACAGAGTGGGAACCTTTAGTGACCAGGGTAAGTTACCACAGAGTGAGGAACCTTGTAGGACCAGGGGGAAATTACCCTAAGGAGGAACCTTTTAGGACCAGGGTAAGTTTTCCACTAAGTGAGAACCCTTGTAGGACCAGGAAGTTACCATTTGAGTGAGGGAAACCTTTATGACCAGGGGTAAGTTACCACTAAGCGAGGGAAACCTGAGTGACCAGGGTAAGACCACTAGGCAGGGGGCCTTAGTGACCAGGGGGAAGTTCCACAATCGGGGCCTTGAGTGACCAGGGGGAAGTTACCCCTGGTGAGGGAACCTTGGTGACCCGGGGGAAGTTACCACTAGAGGAGGGAAAGTTTTAGTGACCAGGGTAAGTTTTTCCCCTAGATGAGGAACCTTGTAGTGACCCGGGAAGTTACACTAAGTGAGAAACCCTTTTATTTACCAGGGGGAAGTTACCACTAGAGTGAGGAACCTTTTAGTGACCGGGGTAAGTTACCACAAAACAGGAACCTTGTAGTGACCAGGGAAGTACCACTAGAGTGGGGAACCTTTAGTGACCAGGGTAAGTTTTGCACAAGCGAGGAACCTTGTAGGACCCGGGGTAAGTTACCCCTAGAGTGAGGAACCTGAGTGACCAGGGGAAGTTAGCCCTAGAGTGAGGAACCCTTTTAGTGCCAGGGTAAATTTACAAATAGAGCGAGGAACCTTGTATGACCAGGGGTAAATTTCCACTAAGTAGGAAACCTGTAGTGACCAGGGTAAGTTACCACAATGAGGAACCTTTTAGTGACCAGGGGAAGTTTTCCACTAGAGCAGGACCTTGATTACCAGGGGAAGTTTCCACTAAGGAGGAACCCGTATACCAGGGATAATTACCCCCAAGCGGGGACCTGTAGTGACCAGGGTAAGTTACCCAAGCGAGGAACCTTTTAGGACCAGGGTAAGTTTCCACAAAAGTGAGGAACCTTGTGGACCAGGGGGAAGTTCCACTAGGGGAACCTTTAGTGACCAGGGTAAGTTACCACTAGGTAGGGGAAACCCTTTAGTGCCAGGGTAAGTTTCCACTAGATGAGGAACCTTGTAGGGACCAGGGGTAAGTTACCACTAGAGCGAGGAACCTTGTAGTGACCAGGGGTAAGTTACCACTAGAGCGAGGGACCTTGTAGTGACCAGGGGTAAGTTACCACTAGAGCGAGGGACCTTGTAGTGACCAGGGGTAAGTTACCACTAGAGCGAGGAACCTTGTAGTGACCAGGGGGAAAATTTCCACAAGTGAGGAACCTTGAGTGACCAGGGTAATTACCACTAGAGCGAGGAACCTTTAGTGACCAGGGGAAGTTCCACTAAGGGAAGGGGCCTTGTAGTGACCAGGGGGAAGTTACCACTAGAGGAGGAAACCCCTTTGTGCCAGGGTAAGTTACCACAGAGCGAGGGGCCTGTAGTGACCAGGGGGAAATTACCCCAGAGCGAGGGACCTTGTAGGACCAGGGGAAAGTTTTCCACTAAGTGAAGGACATTGAAATGACCAGGGGTAATTACCACAGAGCGAGGGACCTTGTAGTACCAGGGGGAAGTTTTCCACTAAAAATGAGGGAACCCTTTTAGTGACAAGGGGAAGTTACCACAGTGGGAACCTTTAGGGCCAGGGGGGAAGTTACCGCTAGAGCGAGGGACCTGTAGGACCAGGGGAAGTACCATAAGCGAGGGGCCTTGTAGTGGGCCAGGGGTAAGTTACCAAGATGGGAACCGTATGACCAGGGTAAGTTTTCCACTAAGGAGGAAACCCCTATACCAGGGGAATTACCACTAGAGTGAGGAACCTGTAGTGCCAGGGGAAGTTACACTAAGGAGGGAAACCCTTTTATGCCAGGGGGAAATTTCCACTAGGTGAGGACCCTTTAGTGACCAGGGGTAAGTTACCATAGAGTGAGGAAACCCTTATGACCAGGGGGAAGTTCCACAAGTGAGGAACCCCTTTTATGACCAGGGGTAATTACCACTAAGTAGAACCTTTTAGTGACCGGAGTAAATTTTTCCACAAGTGAGGAACCTTTTTGACCAGGGGGAATTCCACAGGTGAGGGAAACCTTTTTATGACCAGGGGTAATTACCACTAGAGGAGGAACCTTGTATGACCAGGGGTAATTACCCATGGAGGAACCTTGTAGTGACCCGGGGAAGTTACCACTAGTGAGGAAACCTTTTAGTGACCAGGGGGAATTTCCACTAGAGCGAGGACCTTGTATGACCCCGGGGGAAGTTACCACAAGCGAGGGACCTGTATGACCAGGGAAGTTTTCCACTAGAGGAAAGGGAACCTTGTATGACCAGGGGGAAGTTTACCACTAAGGGGAGGAACCTTGTAGGCCCCGGGGAAATTTCCCTAAGTGAGGAACCTTGTAGTGACCAGGGGTAAGTTACCACTAGAGTGAGGAACCTTGTAGTGACCAGGGGTAAGTTACCACTAGAGTGAGGAACCTTGTAGTGACCAGGGGTAAGTTACCACTAGAGCTAAGGGCCTTTAATACCAGGGTAAAGTTACCACTAGAGTGAGGGACCTTGTAGTGACCAGGGGTAAGTTACCACTAGAGTGAGGAACCTTGTAGTGACCAGGGGTAAGTTACCACTAGAGTGAGGAACCTTGTAGTGACCAGGGTAAGTTACCACTAGAGTGAGGAACCTTGCAGTGACCAGGGTAAGTTACCACTAGAGGAGGGACCCTTTTAGTGACCAGGGGGAATTACCCCCAGAGCGAGGAACCTTGTAGTGACCAGGGAAGTTACCATAGAGTGAGGAACCTTGTAAAAGGACCAGGGGGGAAGTTTTCCACTTGACAGGGGCCTTGTAGTGAGGGAGGGGGAATTCCCCCAGAAGGAGGGACCTTTTAGTGACCAGGGGGGAAGTTACCCCTAGAGTGAGGGACCTTGTAGTGACCAGGGGGAATTACCACTAGAGGAGGGACCTGTAGTACCAGGGTGTTCCACAAGCGAGGACCAAAAAGTGACCAGGGGGAAATTACCCCCAAGAGTGACAGGGTAAGTTTTCCATTGGGGTGAGGGGCCTTGTAGTGACCAGGGGTAAGTTACCACTAGAGCGAGGGACCTAATAGTGACCAGGGGTAAATTACCGCTAAAGTAGTGACAGAGGTAAGTTACCATTAGAGTGAGGGACCTTGCAGTGACAAAGGGAAAAATTCCACAATCCCTTGCGACCTTTCCTTCTATTCCTTCCTGCTCCTTTCGTTTTTCAACCATTCACTTGTGTGGTATTGTGTCGACAGCCTTCTTACAGTCCAAGTATATGCAGTCTACCCATCCCTCTCTCTCATGTCTTACTTCTGTTACCTTGTCGTAGAACTTCTGTAGGTCTGTGATTCAGGATTTTCCTTCCCTGAAGCCATGCTGGTTGTCATGTACGAGCCCATTCCTTTCTAAGTGCTCCACTACACTTCTGATAATCTTCTCCATAACTTAATATACTATACCTGCCAGCAACACTTGGCTGTAGTTTAGTGCTGCTTGTCTGTCTCCTTTCTTAAAAATTGGTACTACGTTTGCAGTCTTCCATATCTCAGGCAATTGTCCTGTTTCAATAGATTTACTGAAGCTTATTGTTAGTGTCACACATAATGCATCTGCTCCCTCTCACAGGACCAATGGAGAGATGATATCTGGGCCTTGCGCCTTCTTAGTATCTAGTTCATCTAGCAGTTTCTTCACCTTCTCCTCGTTTGTGTGCAGTGTGCTCAGCACTTGCTGGTGCACCCTACTCCCTTGGTTTGCTGGAAGCCTCTCTATCTTCACTGTGAATACCTCCCTGAATCTTGAGCTGAGCTTCTCACATACTTTGTGGTCGTTCCTTGTGACCTTCCCTCCTTTCTCAGCCTGATCACCTGGTCCTTGACTGTTGTTTTCCTCCTGATGCGGCTATATAACAACTTTAATGCTAAATCATTCTTGTATTGCTGCTGTTTGATCTGTGCTACGGCTTTCTCGCTTTTGTTCATGATTACGTAATTACCTTTATGAATAACAAAAAAAGACACAATACCGTGACTGGAACGATAGACAAATAACCCGCACATAAAAGAGAGAAGCTTACGACGAAGTTTCGGTCAGACTTGGACTATTTACAAAGTCACACTTTATAAATGACTTTGTAAATGGTCCAAGTCGGACCGAAACGTCGTCGTAAGCTTCTCTCTTTTATGTGCGGGTTATTTGTGTACCGTTATGAATGTTAGGATTCGTGAATCTCTCAGTAGAGATGTTTGACACTGATAATATTATTGGTAACTTTAACTAATGTTGATTATTTTCAGTTGTTATGTCAGTATTAAATTGTGTCGCGTATTTCATTCATGCTTAAAAATATACTGTTAAATTTTGTCTTTGTTAATCCCTTATATTACATTTATTTTTGTTGTCAAGAGTGCTGTCAGATCTGTACTGTAAGTTGACCAAAATTCTAAACTTCTTCCCTACATTTTCCTGCTAATTTTGGTGAAGATAACGAAAAATTTTAATATATAATCTACATTTCTTTTTATTGGCGTTTTTAAATGGCCAGAATTGTAAGTTAAGTAGTAAGAACGAGCAGTGGCAGACACTACACTCTCTGTGGTGACTCACATCGGAAAAAGAATTCTTCTCTGTTTATCAGAGCCATTCGGCCTTTTGCTTTCCTCAGCTGGTCGACGATGGAAATGGCAGCAGGAGTCGCTACAGGCTTAGATGGCACCATTCATGGCACCATAGTCAATCTAGAGCCATACACTCGTTACGCAGTCTATGTAAAGACTTATTCCCTCGCCTCTAGTGCTAAAGGTGGTCACTCAGATGTTGTCTACGCTACTACCAGCCCCTACAGTAAGTCCACTACTGCCAGCCCCTACAGTAAGTCCACTACTACCAGCCCCTACAGTAAGTCCACTACTGCCAGCCCCTACAGTAAGTCCACTACTACCAGCCCCTACAGTAAGTCCACTACTACCAGCCCCTACAGTAAGTCCACTACTGCCAGCCCCTACAGTAAGTCCACTACTACCAGCCCCTAGAGTAAGTCCACTACTACCAGCCCCTACAGTAAGTCCACTACTACCAGCCCCTACAGTAAGTCCACTACTACCAGCTCCTACAGTAAGTCCACTACTACCAGCTCCTACAGTAAGTCCACTACTACCAGCCCTACAGTAAGTCCACTACTACCAGCCCTACAGTAAGTCCACTACTACCAGCCCCTACAGTAAGTCCACTACTACCAGCCCTACAGTAAGTTTACCATTACTACCAGCCCCTACAGTAAGTCCACTACTACCAGCCCCTACAGTAAGTCCACTACTACCAGCCCCTACAGTAAGTCCACTACTACCAGCCCCTACAGTAAGTCCACTACTACCAGCCCCTACAGTAAGTCCACTACTACCAGCCCCTACAGTAAGTCCACTACTACCAGCCCCTACAGTAAGTCCACTACTACCAGCCCCCTACAGTAAGTCCACTACTACCAGCCCTACAGTAAGTCCACTACTACCAGCCCTACAGTAAGTCCACTACTACCAGCTCCTACAGTAAGTCCACTACTACCAGCTCCTACAGTAAGTCCACTACTACTAGCTCCTACAGTAAGTCCACTACTACCAGCCCCTACAGTAAGTCCACTACTACCAGCCCCTACAGTAACGTCCACTACTACCAGCCCCCTACAGTAAGTCCACTACTACCAGCCCCTACAGTAAGTCCACTACTACCAGCCCCTACAGTAAGTCCACTACTACCAGCCCCTACAGTAAGTCCACTACTACCAGCCCCTACAGTAAGTCCACTACTACCAGCCCTTACAGTAAGTCCACTACTACCAGCCCTTACAGTAAGTCCACTACTACCAGCTCCTACAGTAAGTCCACTACTGCCAGCCCCTACAGTAAGACCACTACTACCAGCCCCTACAGTAAGTCCACTACTACCAGCTCCTACAGTAATTCCACTACTACCAGCCCCTACAGTAAGTCCACTACTACCAGCCCCTACAGTAAGTCCACTACTACCAGCCCCTACAGTAAGTCCACTACTACCAGCCCCTACAGTAAGTCCACTACTGCCAGCCCCTACAGTAAGTCCACTACTACCAGCCCCTACAGTAAGTCCACTACTACCAGCTCCTACAGTAATTCCACTACTACCAGCCCCTACAGTAAGTCCACTACTACCAGCCCCTACAGTAAGTCCACTACTACCAGCCCCTACAGTAAGTCCACTACTACCAGCCCTACAGTAAGTCCACTACTACCAGCCCTACAGTAAGTCCACTACTACCAGCCCCTACAGTAAGTCCACTACTACCAGCCCCCTACAGTAAGTCCACTACTACCACCCCTACAGTAAGTTTCACTACTACCAGCCCTACAGAAAGTCCACTACTACCAGCCCCTACAGTAAGTCCACTACTACCAGCCCCTACAGTAAGTCCACTACTACAGCCCCTACAGTAAGTCCACTACTACCAGCTCATACAGTAAGTCCATTACTACCAGCCCCTACAGTAAGTCCACTACTACCAGCCCCTACAGAAAGTCCACTACTACCAGCCCCTACAGTAAGTCCACTACTACTACCCCTACAGTAAGTCCACTACTACCAGCCCCTACAGTAAGTCCACTACTACCAGCCCCTACAGTAAGTCCACTACTACCAGCTCCTACAGTAAGTCCACTACTACTAGCTCCTACAGTAAGTCCACTACTACCAGCCCCTACAGTAAGTCCACTACTACTAGCTCCTACAGTAAGTCCACTACTACCAGCCCCTACAGTAAGTCCACTACTGCCAGCTCCTACAGTAAGTCCACTACTACTAGCCCCTACAGTAAGTCCACTACTACCAGCCCCTACAGTAAGTCCACTACTACCAGCCCCTACAGTAAGTCCACTACTACCAGCCCCTACAGTAAGTCCACTACTACCAGCTCCTACAGTAAGTCCACTACTACTAGCTCCTACAGTAAGTCCACTACTACCAGCCCCTACAGTAAGTCCACTACTACTAGCTCCTACAGTAAGTCCATACTACCAGCCCTACAGTAAGTCCACTACTACCAGCCTCTACAGTAAGTCCACTACTACCAGCCCCTACAGTAAGTCCACTAATACCAGCTCCTACAGTAAGTCCACTACTACCAGCCCCTACAGTAAGTCCACTACTACCAGCTCCTACAGTAAGTCCAATACTACCAGCTCCTACAGTAAGTCTACTACTACTAGCTCCTACAGTAAGTCCAATACTACCAGCTCCTACAGTAAGTCCACTACTACCAGCTCCTACAGTAAGTCCAATACTACCAGCTCCTACAGTAAGTTCAATACTACCAGCTCCTACAGAAAGTCCACTACTACTAGCTCCTACAGTAAGTCCACTACTATCAGCCCCTAGAGTAAGTCCACTACTATCAACCCCTAGAGTAAGTCCACTACTATCAACCTCTACAGTAAGTCCACTACTATCAACCCCTACAGTAAGTCCACTACTATCAACCCCTACAGTAATTCCACTACTATCAACCCCTACAGTAAGTCCACTACTATCAACCCCTACAGTAAGTCCACTACATCACTACTAGTCCCTACAGTAAGTCCACTACATCACTACTAGTCCCTACAGTAAGTCCACTACATCACTACCAGCCCCTACAGTAAGTCCTCTACATCACTACCAGCCCTTACAATAAATCCACTACATCACTACCAGCCCCAACAGTAAGTCCACTGCTATCAGCCCCTACAGTAAGCCCACTACTATCAACCCCTACAGTAAGTCCACTACATCACTACCAGCCCCTACAGTAAGTCCTCTACATCACTACCAGCCCTTACAATAAATCCACTACATCACTATCAGCCCTTACAGTAAGTCCTCTACATCACTACCAGCCCCTACAGTAAGTCCACTACATCACTACCAGCCCCTACAGTAAGTCCTCTACATCACTACCAGCCCTTACAATAAATCCACTACATCACTATCAGCCCCTACAGTAAGTCCACTACATCACTACCAGCCCCTACAGTAAGTCCACTACATCACTACCAGCCCCTACAGTAAGTCCACTACATCACTACCAGCCCTTACAATAAATCCACTACATCACTACCAGCCCCTACAGTAAGTCCACTGCTATCAGCCCCTACAGTAAGCCCACTACTATCAGCCCCTACAGTAAGCCCACTACATCACTACCAGCCCCTACAGTAAGTCCTCTACATCACTACCAGCCCTTACAATAAATCCACTACATCACTACCAGCCCCTACAGTAAGTCCACTGTTATCAGCCCCTACAGTAAGCCCACTACTATCAGCCCCTACAGTAAGCCCACTACATCACTACCAGCCCCTACAGTAAGTCCTCTACATCATACACCCTACAGTAAGTCCACTGTTATCAGCCCCTACAGTAAGCCCACTACTATCAGCCCCTACAGTAAGCCCACTACATCACTACCAGCCCCTACAGTAAGCCCACTACATCACTACCTGCCCCTACAGTAAGTCCTCTACATCACTACAGCCTTACAATAATCCACTACATACTACCAGCCCCTACAGTAAGTCCATGCTATCGCCTAAAAGTAAGCCCACTACTATCAACCCCTACAGTAAGTCCACTACTATCAACCCCTACAGTAGGTCCACTACTATCAACCCCTACAGTAAGTCCACTACTATCAACCCCTACAGTAAGCCCACTACATCACTACCAGCCCCTACAGTAAGTCCTCTACATCACTACCAGCCCTTACAATAAATCCACTACATCACTACCAGCCCCTACAGTAAGTCCACTACTATCAACCCCTACAGTAGGTCCACTACTATCAATCCTACAGTAAGTACTACTATCAACCCTACAGTAAGCCACTACATCATACCAGCCCCTACAGTAAGTCCTCTACATTCACTACCAGCCCTTACAATAAATCCACTACATCACTACCAGCCCCTACAGTAAGTCCACTGCTATCAGCCCTTACAGTAAGTCCACTGCTGTCAACCCCTACAGTAAGTCCACTACATCACTTCAGCCCTTACAGTAAGTCCTCACTATCAATACAGCCCCTCAGTAAGTTCCACTACATCACTATCAGACCCTTACAGTAAGTCCTCTACATCACTACCAGCCCTACAGTAAGTCACTACATCACTACCACCCTACAGTAAGCCATCTCATCATCACCCCTACAGTAAGTCCACTACATCACTACCAGCCCCTACAGTAAGTCCACTACATCACTACCAGCCCCTACAGTAAGTCCACTACATCACTACCAGCCCCTACAGTAACTCCCGTACATCACCCCTTGAGACATTTATGCCAACACATGGGAATCTTTATTAAGGAACAGTTCCACCACACAGTGGCTTCATCAGTCTAATACAAAACAAAGAGAGGGGTAAGGAGAGGAGGAGTTTGAGGTTATCAGTCCCTCGGGCTGGAATCGATCTGTTCAGTCCATCACTCGTGTAGAAAGTACAGCATATCGCCGGAGAAGTGACGTATATACTGTAGTAAGGTGAGTGGAAACAGTACGGTGCAGGATCACAGTGGTACCATCACTAGTGTAAGTAAGTCTTCGTTCAAAGGTTGGATTATGTTGAAGAATTTCTTGTATCAAGTTCCCATGATGTTGTAGTGTCTGACAGATGTGATAAATGGTTTGGAAACCCATCTGTTGCATAAGTGTCTCAGTCTTCAACATCACCCCTAGCTCACGCACTGTGTTCTTCATGTGATAACTTGGAGAACAAGTGTTCATGGGACAACTTGGAGAACAAGTGTTCATGGGACAACGATTTATTCAGAGCTCAAACAAGATA